TGGCAGAGCCAGACCCCTAACACACATAATGTGTGTTCTGTAGCTCTTGGCTTCAACAACACAGGCAGATGACCACTTTTTAGAAGGCGTAAGGGGAGAGAGAGCAGATTCTCCACTATCCATTTGTTCTGTGGGGCATCTCCAGGAATAAACTGTAAAGTGGCATGAGTGGTACTTGACCGTGGTTAAAACCTATACTGGCCAAGGCACAGGCTGGAAATTCTGAACTCCTGGCTCACCACCAGCAGGTTCTGTGGTTGTGTTCGAGTCAGGAAGCTTCCCTCTAGGCTCTCTGGTATATAAAGTAGAGGGGTGCAGCTGCCTAGTTTTCTGAATTTTCAAGTACTGTAGTAGAAGGTGCTGCTCGAATGTGTGGGTGCAATGAGGGTATGAGTTTACCTTGTATGGCACAGAGCCTTCCTTCTGTTCAAATGGATATTATCTCAACACTACTGAAGTGAGGAGAGAAATCGCTGTCATTGCCATATGTGTAGCTGTGGTTCACCTAGCTCTTCCGGAGGGTTTATTATAAGCGTAGCTGAAATATTGTGCTCTGAATTTTGAAATAGTAATCAGTACACCGTAGACCTCCTAAACTCCTGAAAAGGGACATGTCCCAGGTTCTGATGCTGGAGACACCCTCCTCTCCGCCCCCACCAGATTGGCATTTGCTTTTTAAATTCATAGTAACTTCTAGCCTATAGAGCACAGATAACTTACAGGATCAAATAAATGTTTATAACCAGTAAGACTATACAAGCAAGGTGTCCTAATCAGTTATCTCACAGAAAGAACCCAGAGCCTCTGAATTTGCAAACTGCCTTAGCAGAGGGAATCCTTGACAGCCCAGAAAATCCTAGAAGTATTTTTCGAGATAGGAGTTGGCTTAATGAAGAAAAAAACAGCTGCACACAGTAGAATCCTTGGGGCTTTTGTGTATTATCTGTAGAACCTTCTCTAGTCACAAGTACTCTCACTGAAGTTTGCGTGTTAACAATGGAGTTGTTTTAAACCTGTTTTATTTACAAGGGGATGCTTGTTTTTTTCTGTTGATTCCTATGGTGCCCTGTTACCATCCTGCTCCATGAAGCATGGTGTAGCTCTATAGTTCTCCACTAAAATAAAGCATTCGGTTGGAACTGCTCAGCATTGGCCTGTTTACTGCTTCTCTACACATTACAGCTTCCTTACCTCAAGTAGTGTTTGAGCAGTCTGAAAACATGTTTTTGGCTATGCTCCATAGTTTGGCTTCTGCTTCCCCAGTAATGCCATAAAAATGCTTTGTCAAATAAATTCTCAGGAACTGAAAAGAACAAATTCTCTGCTCCATATGATTGTAGATAATAGAGGCAGGCTTCAGCTGACCACATGGCTTGGTGCCCATGGCTTAGTAAAGCCGAATCACACAGCATCCCTTGACAGTGCTTTATAGCCATCAGAGTTAGTGCTCTGCATGTGATGGATGAGGTTTCCATTTAACAAAATTTGCACTGAGCATTTATTTCCATTGGGTCTTTTGCATTCCTTAAAATGTTATCTTTCTTATCCTGCTCTGTTGCCAATTAGTGTATATTATGGAGTTTTCGAACTCAGGGTTAATTCTTGATCGGGTAAACTTCTAATGTTAACCAGTAGAATCCTATGAGAGAAAGTGCTCTCTCTCTCTCTCTCTCTCTCTCTCTCTCTCTCTCTCTCTCTCTCTCTCTGTGTGTGTGTGTGTGTGTGTCCCTTCCTTAGCCTGGGTATTGTAACATCTTAGCCAGCATTCCAGCTAGAAAGAAATATTTTAGAATAACTAGGGAAGGTTTATTTACAAAGGGACTATTTTAAAAGGTATCAATGTATGGGGGTGAGGTGGGGAGGGACAGGACACATAGGATAATATAGTAACTTGGTAAAGCTGTTATTTTCTCTAGATCAGGAGGGCAGGAAGGAAGGGGCGCAACTCTAGAGAGAGAATCCTGTAGCCAGTGCTGCCTGCAGAATGATCTGCTGTGAGAGGCAGAGTCTGGCACTTGGAAGCCACTCATCTCCCTCTCTCTAATCTCCTGTTGGGGCTTCCGGTTAACTGAACCCAATCGGAAGCTGAAAACTGAAATCCCCATTGGTCAGCTTCCCAGGGCAGCGAGGAGGACAAAAGGCAGAGTGGCTTTGGAGGGCAAATAGAAGGCATTGCATATATCCCAATGTAGGTATCCAGTTATTCCTAGGAGAGACATACAAATCTCAATACAAAACAAACTCACTTTTTATTTTTAAAAGTTTTATTGAGATATGATTGACATACAAAATACTGCATATATTTAAAGTATAAAATTTGTAAGTTTTGATATGTATTTACCTGTGAAGCCGCCACCACAATCAAGACAAACATATCCATCTCCTTTAAAAAAAACCCGCTTTAACATTTAAGATAGTCCAGGTGGTTCTTTTGAAATATATAACGTGTAATAATGAAATAACGTAGCAGCAGGGGCAAATCCAACAAGTGTTAGCTCTAGAAAGACACCAAAAAATAAATTTATGACTGTCAAAACTTATGAAGAAGCTATAACAAATTAGAAAAAAATTAGAAAAAAAACCTCTGAGTTTGAAAAGGTTTTTTTTTGTTGTTGTTGTTTATTTCTACTTTGTGTTTTTTGGCCACATATTTTTTTTTTAAGATTTATTTATTTATTTATACAAGAACCGGGGTACAGGCCAGATGCACGGGAGGGTGAGAGGATTCACCAGAGACAGAGCAGAGAGCAGAACAGGCAGACTGACGAAATACACTGCTGACGGGAGCAGCAGGCGAGACAGGAGAGGTCTGCTGCGCCATATGGGACCCTCGCTGGCTGGGATCGAACTGGCACTGCAGAGGCTGCGGACAGCTTCACAGCGTGGCGCTCAACCGCCTGGGCCACCAGGGGAGACCCTGGCCGCATATTTAAAACAAAACAAAATAAAAATCTGAAACTGCTATGAGAAATAGTTGAATGTAAGAAAATAAGTGTTAAATCAATATTTAGTTAGTGTCAGCACAGCGGTAGTTTCAGTATAGTTTTTATAGGGTCTTCATGTGCTATGCAGCAAGCTCCCAGAAAGACCCAGGTATAGGTACATGTTCTGTATAATGACCCCAGTCTCCAAAAAGCAATGCGTGGGAAGGCAGGATGTGCTATTGTTAACAATGCTTACAATTATAACCATTAAATTGTTGAGTATTTAGAATATGCTGGTGATAGAACCAGGATGGGATTTAATTTTCTGAACTTTATTCTATCTTGTTTTAAATTAGGGAAACCAGTAAATCATTTACAAACACATTAAAAAAAACATTTATTAGTAATTTCTTATTACCACCTTACAGCTAAAGGGAGGTGGCCCGAGAGTCATGGTCTGAGTGACAACTGGTATTCTCTCTATCCCTCCCTGTGGCAAGAGCCCTGTTTATTCCACCTCGAGATCCTCAGGATTAGGGCAAGCTGGCATCTGGTCTGGTTCAGGAGTTCAGTGCAAGTCCCCAGTCCCACTTCATGCACAGAAAAGCAATTTCCTCGCTAGAACAGGACGAAGGACAGGCATTGTGAAGTTTTAGATTGAGATTGGGCAGGCAAGGAAGATTGGGCAGGCTGTGGGGTTGAAGGTGAGGGTGGGGTCGGTGTTCAGGGGCATCCAGTGACCCAGGAGTTTCCATTCTGGCCTTCAAATTTACCTAGCAAGTTCAGTTCTCAGGGCCTTTGTATATTTTAATTCTTATGCCTATATATTGCTCTTGCCCCAGATTTTTGCAAAACTCTCATTCTCAATTCAGATTACTGCTCAAGTATCTCTTCTTCATAGAAACTTTCTTTTGCCATTTTTTATCTTAAAAAATAATCTTTGTTGCTCTCTCCCTCTCCTACTTTCTTTTCCTATTAAAGTGGTCACTGTTGGATAATATCAGTAAGTAAACTTTTTGGTCTTTGAACCACTATACTGCTTAAATATTGTCAAGGACCCCAAAAAACTTATGTGTATGTAGGTTATACTTTTCAAAATTTACCTTATCAGAAATTAAAATAGAAATTTAAAAAATTTGTTATTCATTGAGATAGAGTAATGCTAATACCATTAAATATTAACATAACTTATAAAAGATAATGGTATTTTCTAAAATGAGAGAATTATATGAAATGAATGATATTGTTTTATATTTTTGTACATGTTCTCTATTGAAAAAAGATAACTAGGTTGTCACATCTGCTTCTGTGTTCAATCTGTTGTCAAATGTTGTTTTGATAAAAGTTGAACATTTGGCTCTACACAGATATGTAGTTGGAAAAGGAAGGTTGTTATAATAGCCTTCTCATCTAATTGTAGCTATTCTATTTTGACATTATATCAAGACTCAGGAAGTGGTTGTTTTTTAAAGGCTAATTGTTGTGTGGACCTTGCACCCTGGACATATTTATATGAGCCCCTCCCAGCCTGTGGGTCAGATGGCTGTTTTTGAAAGGAAAAATTGGTTGCTTTCTTTTGAAATTATGGTTTTTATAAAGTGGGATGAGAAATGGGATCGTCACTTTTATTATACTGTTGAATAACCCATAAAAAAAAAAATCACAGTCTTGAAAGATTTTAGACAGTCCTCCTCATCAAACACCTACTTTTCATGTCACAGAAATTGAATGCTTTTCCTTGATAAATCCACATCTCGTATTATGGCTGCCTTTTTGAGGTGGGAAGTAAGTACTTAATAATTTCTAATATCACTTTAATATATGTTTAATTTATTGAAAATATCTAGCAGTTATTAAGAGTGTTTATTCCTTCCTCCCTCCCCACTCCTGATTATACTCATTACCTTATTTGAATAAGTGAATAAAGTACCTTTCAGAAATATCCTTAAACCAGTATGGAAATAGAGTTAAACATCCAGGTCTATAGATATGTTTAATAAATTAGGCAGTCATTTTATCTGTTTGCTGGGAATGTTTCAGTTTATTAATCTATAATTTTATGTTTATTTCTTTAAGATCCACACGGGTTTACAGCACCAAATAATCTGGCCTTGTCAGCCCAGCTGCGTTCCTCTGGATGAAAAACTCCTGCCCCAGCTTCTAAAAGAAGCAGGCTACATTACCCATATGGTCGGAAAATGGCACCTGGGAATGTATCGGAAAGAATGCCTTCCAACCCGCAGAGGATTTGATACCTACTTTGGTAATGGAAATGCACATGTTTCTTTAACAACCAGGCTAACTGTAGCCATCTCATAAAACACACCCAAGTGTAATCAAATGAAATGTCTGGCAACATGAACACAGAGTGAATCGGTTAACACCACGGAGGGGAGGCTTTCTTATGCCCCCTCCATAAATGTGGCTCCTCACCCCAGGTGGCAGGAGCTCCCAGGCAGCAGTTACCTTGGTCAGGGTACCGAATGCCATATTGGAGCCTGTGAAGAGTTTGCTACCTCCACATCTGAGACCATTGTGTTCTCAGAGAGCCTTATTACTGAAAGGGGTACAGATTGATTTTGTTTTTTAGGCCAAATCCAATACAAGAATATTTCCATCACAGAGATTCAGAATATTTTTTTCTTCCCATGGAATTTGTTTAAAGGTTGTTTTTTTCCCCCCTGGAGATGGTGGAGAAAATACTTTTCCATTAGCATCCTTCCATCTCCCCCTCCCACCTTCTGTGTAATATGCTTTTGAAATCAGGAGATTGGAGAAAGTAAATAAAAAAATAGAATGGAAGGATTAATAACAAGTGGCAATAGGAAGCATAATAAGAAATAAGGAAGTGTTTTATGGGTTGATAGCTCTATAAAAATAAATGTGAAAACTAAAGTTTGTTTAGTGCCCTCTTTATATCTGTTATAAATCATGTCTTAACCTATGTATCTTGTCAGTGGCTGTATGTCTTTCTGTCAAGTTCTTTTCATATTGAGCTATCTTTCTGTCTAGCTATTTAGCTACCTACTTACCTCTCATTTGTCTATTTATTTACAACCTGCCATATCCAAAAAGGAACACACACTGAGCATAAAAAGTTTTAAAATAAATAGAATAAACAATAGTGGTAAATAGAAAAAGATGAAATAGTTTCAAGCTATTGAATTACAAAAACCTGTCTGGCTCTTGGCAAGCTTTGAATTCAACTCTGAGATTCGAGATTTCCTATGTCCAAAGGGGGAAAAAAAGGAAACGGCTGTAAGAATCACATTATTTATAAGATAAATGGAAACCAGATGTTCAGGAAGAGTAAAACATTTTTCTGGCTCTTAAACATAAGTGAAATTTCTTCTTTATGAGAAGGTAAGGTGGACAGCAGCCTCAAATACATCATTTCAGTAATAAAGTGATTTTCTCATGGATGTTTCTCAAGTCATTCCCTTTTATTCAAGTTAGGGCCTAAACACCAAAGTGCATTTGGTAAAAATGATTATATGGTGCCCAAAACAGTGCAGTGGAAAAACACATTTCTATTGTGCTTGTTGGATGCAGGGTTAAGATCAAGATACAAGGACATCAGACATGACACCATTTGGGTCCTCCTGTAGACACTGCTAATTAGTCATGGTATTCTTTCTTAATGAACCCGGGTATATCCTCAGTGTCTTCAAGTAGCTGATAAAAATCAGGCTTGTATACAGGTCCTCTTTGTCAACTTGGAAATTCTAGAGGAAAAAGCAACCTTTGACAATTTTCAATCATGTCTGTGCTAAAATGTGGGTCACTGCTTATACTCTGGGAAGAAGAAGACTATAGCTATTTAAAAAAATTTTTTTAAGATTTATTTATTTTTATACAAGAGCTAGGGTACAGGCCAAAGGCGTGGGAGGGCGAGAAGATTCACCAGAGACAGAGAGGGGAGCAGAACAGGCAGACAACCGAGATGACTGAAATATACCGCTGAGGGGCACGGCAGGCGAGACAGGAGTGTGGGAATGTCCCTGGCAGGCTGGGAATCAAACCAGCGCTGCAGAGGCTGCGATGGTGGCACCGTGCCATTGGGGAGGCCCTGTTTAAAATTTTTATTAAAAGCCAAGTTATATAAAATTCAGTTGGACAGAAAGTAGAAATGATACCCTTCTAATAGTATTAAAAAGTCTAATAGGAGTTCAGTGAAAGCACCCCATATTCAGGGAATGGACATTTGGAGACAAAGAAAATAAAATGGCCATGCAGCTGTTGTCATTGGTATGATTCGGATGTTCTATTCCAAAGAAGTCAGAGATAGTGAGGCTAATTGTAAACTCTGTGAATACGTTCAAGTCCCTAAATTGTGCACTTTAAATGGGTAACTTGTAAGGTATATAAATTATGTCTCAGTAAAGCTGTTAAATAAAGAAGTCAAAATTTGACTGCTTAAAATTATTTCCTCATTTTTTTCTGGAAAAACATAGGCTGTCATCTTCTTTAGGTTCCGCATAGACATTCATTTGTGAATCACTGTGTTAAGAAAAGTGCCATATGACTGTCATGTGGTAGCTTGGTACAAATTTGGCAAAGTATGTGAATAAATAATTCTTAACTCTTCCTATTTGTAATATCTTATTACTATTTATAGTTCATACATCTTTTAACCAAGTGTATCCTATGAATATATTCTCCCAAATGATAGAAAACAATTTTGGATAAAGAGCCTGAAGTAATTTCCTTAATCTCTAATACCTACTTATTAAAAACCCAAATAATAACCGAGTGTCCTCACCCCTTTAACAGGCTGAGATGATTTTTTATGTATACTTTTCTTTCTCTGTCACTACTAATTACCAACACATTGGCTTTCCCTTTTTGTTTTATACATAAGAGAAAAAATTGTCTCTTAAAAACTTATCTTCATATCAAGGTATCCACTGTTTTCAGGACCTTAAATTTGCTGGATCATGGAAAAGGAGGAAATTAACTTGTTATAAAAGTTGTGTGAGAGTTTTCATAGGGAAAGTTAAGTCCTGTGGAAAGAACTAGGCCTGTTTTATCCTTTTTTTTTTTTTTCTTTTTCACTTGGGAACAAATTATGCATTGGGTTGAATATGCATTTTGTTTGAAATGCCTCTTTTATGCTTTGAAGCCTCCTCCTCCAAGGAGTTTGTTGTCAAGATTGTCCTGGAGCAATCTCAGATGCTTTATCATCCTCATTTTGAGGTTAACAAGCAGAAGATAGATTAAATTCCATCAGAGCTATTTCTTTTTAACAGCTTTATTAAGATAATTCACATACCATATAGTTCTCCCAATTAAAGTATCCTATTCAGTGATTTTAAACAAATTCACAGGGTGACTACCATCCCAGTTTAATTGTAGAACATTCCTTTGTCCTCAAAAGAAACCCCATTAGCAGTCTCTCCCTTTCCCACCAACTTGGCCAGATCTATGCAACCACAAAGCTATTTTTTGTCCTTATGTATTTGCTTATTCTGGACATTTCATATAAATGGAATCATAATATGCAGCACAGCTTACTTTACTTTAATATTTTAGGAAAATATAGAGCATGTGCAGAAGCAACTATTCCTTTCATTTTAAAGTCCAAATTGTGGTTGATAAGCAGTTGATGCCATTTAAATATAGAGTGAAAATAAGGTCACCGTAGGTAGAAAAATCTAATTACAGTGCTGCACATCATTTCCATCTTTGGCTCTGTTTAGTTGCCTAGAGATCCTCTCTTTGTAAATGTTTGTGTCTTTCACCAGTGGGTGTCAGCATCTGACTACAGATGATTCCTTCTGGAGCTGCTTCCATAAATAACCTTGAAGCCAGTCTCCCAAGGTCAATATCAACACTGTTTTGAATCCTGAGTTCATTTATGTGATCATCTCAGAGTAACAACTTCAAATATCACATTAGCCATATGCTATTTTAGCCACTAGATAGATTTAAAAGATTAAAATATTATCACCTTTACTAAATTTGAACTGTTATTTTTAAATCATATTATTTGAAATCACCCACTTTGAGAGTTACATGATAGAGCCTTATGTTCTAAAGACTTGAGAGAGGAATGGATTTGAATTTTTATCCAGTTACCTTTTAATGCCTTCTGCTATCAAGTATAGAGATGTTAAGATGCTGTTCTGATTAACCTTGTCATTTGATTAGCCTTGTCACGGGTGATCAATTGCATTAGGCAATTAAATGCTGAAACATTAGTTTGTTTAGCAAGTTGTTTGTGATGCTGACTACTTTCATCTCCCATTCTTGTAGGCTATCTCCTGGGTAGTGAAGATTACTATTCCCACGAGCGCTGTACATTAATCAATGCTCTGAATGTTACTCGATGTGCTCTTGATTTTCGAGAGGGTGAAGAAGTAGCAACAGGATATAAAAATATGTATTCAACAAACATATTTACCAAAAGGGCTACAGACCTCATAGCTAACCATCCACAAGAAAAGGTAAGTCTTACCCTCTTCATTGATATCAAAATTGTGTTAAGATAGCATCTCTTCACATGAATATAGGAAAGATCACTCTTGTTCAGGAAAAAATGTAATGCATTCTAGGAGAGTGGTTTCCAAATTTTAGAATACATCAATGTATGCCTGGAAGCTTTTTAAAATAGAAATTCCTGGAGCATAGTTCTAAGCATTGGATTCAGTAGGTGTGGGGAAATCCATATGTTGGCATTTTAGAGAAATTCTTAAAGGGTGATTTGCATGCAAGTGCTCCCCATTCTTTTTTTTTTTTTAAAAGAGGCATGAATTTTTATTTATTTGTTTGTTTGTTTGTTTATACATGCACTGGGTACAGTCAGAAGTGCGGGAGGGTGAGAGAATTCACCAGAGCCAGAGCGGGGAGCAGAGCAGGCAGAAGGACCGAAATACACTGCTGAGGGGAGCAGTGGGCGGCAGGAGAGGTCTGTGCGCCATGTGGGACCCTCCTGCGGTGTCTGGGGAGCAGCCGGGGATCGAACCGGCGCCGCAGAGGCCGCAGAGGCCGCAGAGGCTTCGCAACCCAGCGCTCAACCGCTGCGCCACTGGGGAGGCCCATGCTCCCCATTCTTGAATCCTGTATCTAAAGAACTTTAATACAAATGTAATCTTATTGGTGTATTATCTGCATGTTCTGCAAATAGTAAATTGACTTTAAACAATAGGCTGATATGTAAGATGACACTTTCTCATGACAAACTTTTTGTTAAATGATTGACAACTTTAGGTTCAGGGTGATTCTCTAACTTGGTTTTTTTCCCTTCAAGATTATTTTGGCTATTCTAGATATTTTGCAATCCCTTGGTAATTTTAGCCTCAGTTGGTCAGTTTCTACCAAAAATAAAATAAGTGCCTGACTGGATTTAGAATTTATTGAATCTAAGATCAATTTGGAGAGAATGAACGTCTAAATGAGTCTTCCAGTCAATCAACATGGCACACTGGTGAGCATGTTTTTCACGTTTGCCACATTGAAGTTACTGTATTTGTATATGTCAGATGTTGAAAATTTTTGACTTATCTATAAGTAAAAATAGAAAAGAGTCTGAATAGTCTTAAAGACTATTTTTGCTGAACCTAGAGTTAATCTCATGAGTGGAAGTTTAAGTTCTCTGGGTTTTTAAAGACAGAGGTCTGCATTAGAAAAATGTGGTCCATACACACATGCGTGTACATGCACACACTAGAATACTTATTCAACTATTAAAAAAACAGATGAACTCATGCCATTTGCAACAACCTGGGGAACTGGAGGATAATGCAAAGTGAAATAAATCCAAAAGAGAAAGACAAACACTTAATGGTGTCACTGATAAAAGATCAGATAACACCAAACCAGTAATAGGCCCTAGCAAACTGACTGGACTATAGGGTGGGAGGGTGGGTGGGGAGCAAAAGGGTGAGAAGGGTGCACAAGGGACTATGGTGGAGAACAATGGGTGCCTTGGTGGTGGGTGTGGTATGAGGACATGCCTCTGAGGATGTGTGATTTTGTGCCTCTGAATCACATACAATGTTGTAAACTAGTTATTTCAGTTAAAATAATCTCTGGGTTTAGCTTATAAATGCCTTTTAGATTGGGTCAAATATTTGTGCTGTCAGACGTTGGACTAAACTTTGATTTCATTCAAAACTTCATTAGCACCCCCATGAAATTAGTCCTTCACGTGGGACACTGACAGCAAATTACAGAAAGTATGGTGTTGCCTGGTTCTTCCAATTTCTTGCCCATTGTCTCTTTGACAGCTACTAAAGGTCTTTAGTGCAGATCGTAGTGTAGAGTCCAGTTTATGTGCCTGTTCAGACCTAGTAGCTGGCTGCTCCTCCTTTTTGATGTGGGGTTTTTTTTTTAATCACTCTTACCTATTTGCATTTTGGAGTAACCAGAAGAAATTGGAACATTCTTTCAGATATATTAACCTATGCCTATTTTGAAATTTAGACTTAAACCAATATTTAGATACTTGGAAAGATAATTGCTAGGTAATTGACTTAAGTCCTCAGTTTTTTCCTATTACTTGGCATTTATATATATAACTAAAACCTCAAAGAACAAGATAAAGTCTTAAGGGAACTGCGTTCCTTGTCCCATCCTTTGCGGTAGGCACCATTTACAGATAAGCAAACTGGCTTAGAGAAGTTAAGTAACTTGTTCAAGGTTACAGAGCTATTAAGAGTCAAAATGGGAATTTTAACCCACATTATTTGATTTCAGAGCTCGATGTAATTTAACAAACCTCCCTAGTTTACAGCTAATATCCAAGACCGAAGATTATAAGCCATAGCATGTAATTCAGCTTGGTGGTTCCAATCTTCATAGTATATTAGGATCACCTGGGACGCTTATAAGAAACACCCATTACCAAATCTTGTGATTTATTGGTCTGGAGTGGGACCCTGTCATTAGCATTTAATTCCCCTCTGCCCTACCTCCCACCAGTGATTTTGATATGTGGTCACTATTGACTCCCCTCAAATACAAGGGGAAAACTGAGGCCAGCTGACTTTTTTTTTAACAGGTTCACAATATAACATTACTTAATCATGCAATGACTGTAATGTGCCTACAGTAAAAATTAGTTCCTATTATGGAACAATAGAGTATTCTCTCACAGGGCCCATAACAGTAAGCGGATAAGAGGAAGCAGCTGGGGCGAAACAGTTCTTTGTGGGTGGGCTGCTTAACTGGTTGGTGGGGAAAGCACAGGAACTGAGGAAAAGGAGGCCACCAGAGCTCACACACCATCTGAACTGGAGTTATTAGTAAGGTGCTGCTTATGGGCAGCATTTCTGAAATTGTCAGGTGGGAGGTGTCTGAAATATTCTGAAGCATTATCCAGCATCCCCAACATTCTCAAAGTAGTTTCAAGCATAGACATCCAGTTCTCAATAAATCGATGCATCATATAGTTCCGGGAGCTGCAGTTATTACCATTTTATCCCAGTGTTAAATATGATTCCTTGCTAATTTCTCAGGTGCTATGTAGACTATAACATAGGCAACTTGTGCTAATCATTCAAGAAATATCCTGGCAGTATCCACAGCTAAGTTAATAAGGTGCCTATTTAAAAGGGCACTTGAGGGGCAAAAGCAGATGGAACTATTTTGTAACAGAAACACAGTTGGTGCTGGACTCAGGGAGATTCTGCTAATAACTGCTGCGCTGTGTGTTGAGGAATGTCTTTTCTCTTTCCTACAGGCTAATTCCCTTAGCACTAACACTGAAGTGTGAGAGTATCATATTCATAAAATGTCTTATTTAAAAATAGTCCCCCTCAACACTTTGCAGAATAAAAATAAATGTTTTTGCATACACTGAATCTGCTAGAAGCTTCTTAAAGTAAATGTGAATTTTTAGACTTAATTTTCCCTGATAAAATTTTATAAAAGTCAAAGATAGAATAATAATTTAAAACATATAAGATACTTTTTAAAATTTGTACTTTAAGTTAGGAAAATATACTGAAGAAATGAAAATAAGGCTTTCTACCTCTCTGAAATTAGGTTTCTTAGCATTGAGGATACTTAAGAGTACTTATTGTAGATCTCCTATGATATACTAAGAAAGGGGGGAAAAACACTCAGGAGCATCTTACTAGTATACTAACAACTTTCGGTAATAATGCCATACTTTTACGTAATACTTAAACATTTGGGCATGGTTTACAACTCCAACTCTGTTTTATATTCCTAAGAAACCTGAAACCCTAGAGTCAGGGTTGCCATGAAGGTGGCAGCTGATGAGACTACATCAAACTAAAAAGCTTGTGTACAGTGAAAGAAACCATGGCTAAAATGAAGACATCCTACTGAATAGAAGAAGACATTTGCTCACCATACATCTGACAAAGGACTGCTATCAAAAATTTACAAAGAACTCATAAATTCTACAGAAACAAAACAAATTTCCTAATCAAAAATGGGCAAAAGAACTAAACAGACAACTCTCCAAAGAAGATATTAATAAGCCAGCAGGCAGATGAAAAAATATTCACAATCACTTATTATTTAAAAAAGATGCAAATCAAAACCACAGTGAGCTGCCATCTCACACCTGTAAAAATGACCCATATTGAAAAGACCAGAAACAAGTGCTAGTGAGGATGCGGAGAAAAGGGAATCCTCCTACACTGCTAGTGGGAATGCAACCTGGTGCAACCCTCATGGAAAGCCGTGTAGCAGTGTCTCAAAACATTAAACATGGATCTGCATTCAACCCAGTAATTCCAGTCGTAGGCATCTACCCCCAAAATTCAAAAACACTAATTCGAAATGAAACTTACACTCCGATGTTTATTGAAGCGCTATTTACTTTAGCTAAACTGTGGAAACAACCTATGTACCCCAGAACAGATGAGTGGATCAAGAAGATGTGATATGTATAATACACAATGGAATACTATTCGGCAATGAAAAAAGATACTCATGCCATTTTTAGCAACATGGATGGAGCTTGGAAGGATCATCCTAAGTGAAATAAATCCAAAGGAGAAGGATAAATACCAGATGATGTCACTAATATGTGGAATATAAAGTGACTAAATTAGTAGTCAGGTAAAGACAAGCTGAAAAGCTAACCCTCGATGGCTGACTACAGAACTGAAACACTAAGGGAGTAGGGAGAGGGAAAAAACAAAGAGGGAAGAAAGCAAAATGGTATATGGTAGTGGAATATAGGTGAGCTAGTAGTGGTTACACTATGGTGGTAATACCTAGAGGGGTTACCCCAGATTACCTCAGTTAAAAATAATTTTTTTTAAAAAGGTGTCAGTTGAATGTATCTGGTTTGATCAGAGCAGGGATCTGGACCCAAGAAAGAACAAGAGTCAGCATAAACCCATAAACATCAAAGTTGATGCCAGGACTCCAGTGTTTTGAATCAAGATGTTAGTAAGGTCAGGTTGGGCCTGCAAATCTGCAAGGGCAAAGGCGTTATTGGACTGAAACTCAAGTCAGTAGATAGCATAGTAATGATGAACACATCCCCAGGATGGAGGTTGCTTGCTTTAGTCTAACAGTGAGCTAGGGTCCTGGATGATAGGTGTGGGGAATTTAGCTACAGCTGTTCACTGAGGGGTCCTAGCTGTGTTTGGACAACCCTAGAGTCCTACTTAAATGTTCCTTAAATTGGGCCAGCATAAAATACCAAGAACAGGACTCTCAGTTTTTCTTTTTTCAATTTAAAAGTTGTGTAGAAATGTTTCCCATCTAGCTGTCTTAGGGAGTGAGCACTCTCATGAATAAAGTTCACCTTGTCAGTGCTGACACTACTTTTACAATATTGGATGGAACTACTCTGAAATGTGTTGCATTGGTCCTCACTTCATTAAGAGGACTGCACTACCCATCAGTCTGGTCCCAGTGACCCAGTACCATAGGAGGTGTGTATGACTGTTTGCCCCTCCATAAATACCTCTAGACTACTGCTGATAATGGAGGGGGTGTGAGGAATATAGCTCGTTTGGTCCAAGAACTGACCTTTTTTTTTTTAAAGATTTATTTATTTATATAAGAACTGGGGCACAGGCCAGATGTGCGGGAGGGTGAGAGGACCCACCAGAGACAGAGCAGGGAACAGAACAGGCAGACTGACTGAAATACACTGCTGAGGGGAGCAGTAGGAGAGACAGGAGAGGTCTGCCGCGCCATGTGGGTAGCTCCCTGGCTGGCCTGGATCGAACCCGCACTGCAGAGGTTGCAGACAGCTTCACAGCGCTGCGCTCAACTGGCTGCGCCACCAGGGAGACCCACCAAGGACTGCCTTTATCTATACTTACACAGTATTAGGTCCTGGTCAGTAGGCAGCTTGAGGTCTTTTCATGACCTGTGGCTTGGCTGGGCTTCACTTTTTCCTTTTTGCCTGATTACTGGGAAAAAACAGGACAATTGCTGCAGTTCTATGATTTTAACCCCTCAAGAGTGATGGTCATGTCTTTCATCACTAAGGAATACTGATGGGATAGATTTTTCAGGTAATTTTGCTATTTAACAAAGTGAGTAGAATGATTTCTTGAATACTTCTAAGACCCCTTAATGATGGTCCCAGAGTCATAATTATTTCCCCTGGTGTGGTTATAAGGACTTTTTCCCCACCATTACTTTGGCCATTGCCTCTAAGGATCAGTTGCCGACGTGGAATTATCTGCCCCCTTCCCTGTCTCTCCTTCACCCTGTGGGTTGACATGTGGCCACTGATGACGCAGCTGAATTCCCTCTCTCACTCTCCTACCCCGACCACTGTAGGGAATCCAGACCAGCGTCATCACCTCTCATGTTTACCAGAACCAGGCTGCTAACCTGACTGAAAGAAGCCACTCAAGTAGAATAGTGGAGAGCCTGGCAAGTTGGAGTGCACTTGGGAGGGGGGTCTCTGTTTCTGCAGTCATTTGTTACCTGATGGAGTATGGGTATGGGGTTGCTAGAGGTTCTAACTTTTCAAGGAACTAAAAACAAAGAATATTTTTATGTGATATTTCCTATTTTATTTATTTTAAGATTTATTTATTTATGCATTCAAGAGCTAGGGGTACAGGCCAGAGGCAGAGCAGGGAGCAGAACAGGCAGGCAAACTGAAGCACACTGCTGAGGGGAGCAGCAGACAAGCCAGGAGAGGTCCACCACGCCATGTGGGAAGCTCCCGGGCCAGGCCTGGGATTGAACTCACACTGCAGAGGCTGCCAACAGCCCCACAGTGCAGTGCTTAACCCCTTGTACCCCTAGGGAGGCCCTAATATTTTCTATTTTAAAACTTCATGTGGGCTGTGAATTGTTGCACCCTTCCAATTTTTAATCCTAGTCCCACCCAGACCTTGGCTGGTGGCTGGAGTTGGCTTAATCTCGTGCTGGAGACCCTCACTGCACTGTCTAGCCCCTATACCTTCATCCTTTCCCCTCAGAACATCTCATCCCAGGGTCCTTCCTTGTCACCATGGCAGGTCACCCCTCTTCAGAGTCTGGAGGAACACAGAATTCCTATATGAGTTGTATGACTGGAGTAAAAAGTGTGTATGTTAAAGGGGAGTGGAGGAAGAGCTAAAGTGGTGTCAAAATTTTTAGTATTGTCTTTTGGAATTGGAATTTGGAATGTCTCCCTGTGGAAATAATGTACAAATGAAGCATAGGTTCTACATTATCATGATTTTTCACTCCGTCACCCACATCTTTACAGAAATAAGTTTTAAAGTGATAGCTCTGATATTTGACAGCTTTTTTAAAAAAACCATTTTGATTTTTGAGAAAAAGTGTTTCTAAGTTCTAAAGATCTGAACTACATCTTTTAGATATCTGTTTGAGCTCCATATATTAACATCCCTTCATCCATTACAGAGATATAAAATATGTAATTGAAAACAGTTATCAACAAAGATGAAATATGAGGCCCTCCTGCGCCCTGTCTGTTCTCTAACTCTTCTCTAGTCACTTATGATATTTAAATATCTCAAATACTTTAACAGAATTATATGTTCACTCTAGAGTTGAAACAGTTTTTGTCTTTTTGAGGGTTGTCAACTCATTAAAGAATACTGTAGGAGCACAATGAAGAGAATGCCTTCAGAAAGACTCACTAAAAAGGAGAGGCTGACCTGGAATACCACTAATGTTAAATGTTAAATGTTAATGTTACATTGGGGTAATGTATCACACTCCTTAGTTTCCAGGAATTAAATGCACTTTGTGTTTGGTCTTACATCAAAGACTCCTATAAGGCATGGCATTCACTTGTTTTCTCATTAAAATATCAAAACCCTCTAACCTTCTCCTAAAGAGGGAAAATTACTTTTCAGCTAAAACATGTTTTGGTACATATCCACACTGTAATAGAAGGCTCTATAGTAGGAAATTTCACGGCAGTTAATGTGAATTTAAGTAATTCATATAACCTTTTTAAGTCTCAGGAAGTTTACCTGTAAAATGGATATAACATAGGGGGGTGGTTTTGAGTATTAAATGAGATAGTAAATATTCTATTATATACTCAATATCAGAGTATATATAGCACATAGACAACATTTAATATATGATTGCTATTATTGATATTATTCTTTTGCATCAGTTCCTTCTAGGCCATTTTAGGATTCTGGCTTTTATTTATTTATTTTTTCCTTTTGTTATATTTTAATATTTTTCTTGTGACATAAAAATTCATACCATAAAATCCACCCATTTAAAGCATACAATTCAGTGGTAAGTTCACTGCAATCTAGATTTAAAACATTGCTGTCACTTTAAAAAGAAACTTTGTCCTTATCAGTACTCTCTAGTCATTCCTTTCCCCCAACTTGCTACAGCTCCAGGCAACAACTAATCTTCTTTCCATCTCCATAGATTTGCTTACTCTGGACATTTCATATAAGTGGAATCATAAAATGTCATCTTTTGTGATTGACTCCTCTCCTATAGCATAGAGTGTTTTTTTTTTAAGGTTTGTCTGTATTGTATCATATGTTAATATTTCGTTCCTTTTTATTGCTGTACAATATTCCTTTTATAGTCATTTATTGCTGAAAATGTACCATATTTTCTTCATCCAATCATCAATTGGTAGGCACTTTGGACGTTTTCACTTTTGAACTATTTTGAATAATGCTGTTGTTATCATCCATGAACAAATTTTTATGTGGATATATGCTTGCATTTCTCTAGAAATGGAAATGCTGGGTTATATGGTAACTATATTTTATAATTTCAGAAGCTACCAAGTTGTTTTTCAAACTGGCTGTACCACTTCCCGTTCTCACCAGCAATGAATGAGTGTTCCAATTTCTCTACATACTCATTTGTTATTTTCTGGTTTTATATTATAACTACCTAGTGAGTGTTATTGTGCTATCTCAGCATCATTTTGATTTACATTTCACTAATGACTAATGATGTTGAGCATCATTTCATGCGCTTATTGACCATTTTTGATTTTTGACTTATTGTATATTTTCTTTAGTGAGCTAAAGATAGTCTGAGTCTTTGCTTGTTTTGTAAGTGGATTAATTGTCCTTTATTATTGAGTTGTAAGAGTTCTTTATATATTCTGGATATAAGCCCATTATCAGATGTATGATTTGCAAATATTTTCTAACCATTCTATGGGTTGTCTTGATATTACTTTTATTGACTGATACATCTGGACTTATCTCTATATATTCAGTACTTCCATGCTCTCTTAACTGATTGCAAACTCTCTTTCCAGCCTCTGTTTCTCTACCTTGCTCTCCAGTCTGTCCATGAACCCCTTCAGGTCCCTGAGGAGTACCTGAAGCCATATGACTTCATCCAAGATAAAAACAGGCATTACTATGCAGGAATGGTGTCCCTTATGGATGAAGCAGTGGGAAATGTCACCGCAGCCTTAAAAAGCCATGGACTCTGGAACAACACAGTGTTCATCTTCTCCACAGGTGAGTCTGTCAATAGAAAAATCATCTTTTGGCAAAGCCTGAGACATGGTATTCGATAAATGGAATGAAGACAAATTAGAGCATTTAGCTGTTTCTTATTAAAATAAATGCTAACTGCAAGAATGGAGACATGATAATAATGGATAGAAAAATGTTTCTAGGGGAAAAGAATTATGGGCCTTCCCCAATTCTTTCAGATGTCACAATATTCTGGGAATATGCTTGAAAACAAGCACTTGCTCCCTGAATAAATTTATAGGCAGGTAAGCTTGGCAGTGAATCCCTAGAGTGACTTGTTCTCAGCAATCTCTGCAGCCCAGGCATTCTCACTGAATAGGACTTCTGTGATCAGAGGGTCTCTGTATCTTTGCAGAGAGACAGATTGTGACTTTAAGAAGACAGATAAGAAATGGCAATTTAAGTTTAGACTAGAATCTCTTTGTACAGATTTTTTTTTTTTGTATTAAGATTGTTTTTGACAATAAAAGTCAGACATGTTGATCATGGAAAAAACAACAAGGAAGAAAAAAGAAAATTTTTGAAAACTGCTTTTATTTTCTCAGGGCCATTCTGCTTTCTCATCTATTATCTATGTGATTTACCTCCTCCGTTCAGACATAGTTTTCTAAAGTTTCCCTTTGATGTACTTTCAGTGTAGATCTTGGTTTATTCATTAAGCGGATTACTCTGAGAGCATTTTCTATCTGAAAACGAAGATCTTTTTTTTTTACAGAAAATTTTCTTATTTATTTCACAAGTGTTTGGATCTCCATCACACCTTTGTCCTATTCTATCTACAAAGAAAGAGTATTAAGGCCTCCCCGGTGGCGCAGTGGTTGAGCGCTGGGTTGCGAAGCTGCCCGCAGCCTCTGCCGTGCAGGTTCGATCCCGGCTGCTCCCCGGCCACCAGAGGAGGGTCCCACATGGCGCGCAGACCTCTCCTGCCGCCCACTGCTCCCCTCAGCAGTGTATTTCGGTCCTTCTGCCTGCTCTGCTCCCTGCTCTGGCTCTGGTGAATTCTCTCACCCTCCGCGCTTCTGACTGTACCCAGTGCTTGTATAAATAAATAAATAAATCTTTAAAAAAAAAAAAGTTTAAAAAAAAAAAGAAAGAGAATTAGGAGCCTCCCTGGTGGCCTAGGGGTTAAGTCTCAGCACTATCACCCCTGGGGCCTGCATTTGATCCCCTGCCAGGTTGCTGATCCACATGTCTCAGCAGATCTCTGTCTCACCGGCTCCCCCTAGCAGTGTATTTCAGTAGATCCGCCTGCTCTGCTCCCCACTCTTGTCTCTGGTGAGTCCTTATACCCCCTGCACCTCTGACCTGTACCCCAGTTCCATGCAAAAATAAATAAAATCTTTTTTAAAAATTTTAAAAAAGAGCAAAAGAATTAGAATTAGAATCCTCTAACTGCCTTAGGGTCTTTCCTCCCTTATTTTTTCCACTATTTGGGAAATTACTTTAATATTATTTTGTGACCCTTTTAATTGAATTCATTGCAACCGCAATAATTTCAATTATCAAGACTTGTTTCTTATATTTTATAATTCTTTCTCTGTAAAGTTCTGTATTTACTCTATGCATAGTAATTTACTTCTCTGGAGCCTGATCTGTAGTAATTAATTTTATATATGTGCAAGTATGTATGTAGGTGTGTGTATGTATGTAAATGTATATGTATGTTTGCTTGTACTTCCAACATGTCTCTCTTCCTCCTATGGTCTAATTACTGTCTTTGTTTTCATCAGTCTTTCATGAAGATGGCTTCTTCTAATCCCCAGTGATTCTTGAATAAAACTTAAAAACATTTGACTGGAAACTCTTAAGATGATGAGAAACTCAAGACTTGTCATCTAGTGAGCTTTACTGTAAAGTGACTATATGAGGTACTTTCTTTTAGGAGTAGTTTTATTTTTAATTAGGCATGGTTTCTTTTAGGAGTAGTTTTATTTTTAATCTAGTATTTATCACATGCTTACTAGGTGCAGTACATAGTTCTAAGTGCTTTACATGAATTAATTTTGTTAATTTTGTAGGCACTATTATCATACCATTTTATAGCTATGAGAAAAAGAAATACAAAGAGATTAAGTAATTTACCGGTGGTCTCACAATCAGGCAGGCAGTATCCTGCCTCTGAGATGAAGACCTGAATGTTCTTATTGGACTTCATGACCCAGCAGAGCTTTTCCCATGGTACTGCTTTATTGATCTATTGAGATCTTAGGCAGGGCAGAGTAACATCTACTCTGAGCAGCCTTGATCAATTGCTTTAGTGCTGTAAGGACTAAAAATTTTCTAAATATCCCCTGTTGCGAAAAAGTTGACTATAAGATAACATTTTCCCTGAAACTCTTATCCCTCAGGAAAGAGCGAGGCATTTTATACATAAGTCCTTATGGGAGCTCTCATATTCTGAGAGTCTTTCTCACTTTACTTTACTTTGAACATCCTGGTAAAGTACTTTGATCAGTGCTAGTATTGAATGCTTATAGAAGTCACTAGAAAGAATCAATAAAAAAGGTGACCAAGACATTTAATACTGATTTAGTAACTGTTCCCGGGAATTGTCTTCACAGTTTCAAGAATTGGTAGCTATAGGTTTATAAAACAAGCCATTGTTGTTGGGATCACATTTATACAAGGATAAATGATTTCCTGAAATGAAAGTATATGTGAATTAATGTATCATACTTAGACTGAAAAGTACTCAGACAGGAGTGAAGATGGTGCTTTAGAAAGCTTAAGTATCCCAAAATGACTTTGTGATAGCAGCTATTGAAATCAAGTATGCATGGGAAGAGGTAGAAAAAAATTTTTTTCATGCCATGTGATGGTTGAAGGAAAGCAATACTTTAAGATCACTATATCTCTTTCATTATATAATTTCAAATGTGTATACTTAGCTATATTTTAAATAGTTAGCTGACTATTTCATATATATCCTATATTTATTCAAATTCTCAAAAGTAATTTTTAGAATTACTCACAGAAAATGTATTACCTTATAGTATTCTGACACTGTGACATATTGATATGTATATTAGTCTTGCACCATCTTTGCTTTATATGGGTAAATCTAACTTTATTATGTGTATATATTTTTATTACATGGCTAAATTCAGTTTGCTATGGTTTTATTTGGGATTTTTGCATCATTCAAAAGTGAAAATGGGGGTTGATAGTTTCTTTTTTCTCAGAGGTTTTATTGTCTTGTTTATGTTCACTTTATAAAATAGTTGGGAAGGTTTTTTCATCTTTTCTATGCACTGGAACAGTTTACAGATTGTTTGGAAAATCTCTCTGGTTAAGATAGCCCCTGAAATCTGTTTGGAAACTATTATTTTTTAAAAATTGGCTTCCATAGTTTAAATTTTTTGATGAATTATATCTAGGTGTGGCATTTAAAATATTTAAAAATTAATTTTGCCTAAAATATAGTGACCCCTTTGATCTACATGCTAAAATTTTCCACTCTAGGAAGTTTTCCTTATTCATATTTTAGATTATTCACTTCTGTTCTGCTTGATTTATTTTTCAAAGATATCTCTGATTAGGAGCTCGTCTGCATTACCAGTTAGACATCTTTACAATTTTATTTCTGCTCTTTATTTATTTTTAAAGATTTATTTATTTATGCATACAAGAAGTGGGGTACAGGCCAGAGGTGTGTGGGGGTGTGCCATGTGAGTAGCTCCCTGTCAGGCCGGGGATTGAACTCGTGCTGCACTGGCTGCAGATAGCTTCATAAGTTGCGTCTTACCCCCTTGTGCCAGCAGAGAGGCTCTATTTCTGCTCTTTAACATCTATACTGTAGATAATTATTGATTATGTTTTAGTTTATTTGTAATCCTTTCTTTGCCTCCAACAGTGCCCATTTTTTTTTGAGCTTGTTAGTAATAATAATGACGATTTTTTATTCAATATTTCTGCATGCGTAGGCCTTGGGCCAGGGCTTTTCACATACTTTCTCATTATCATTTATGTTGTGTACATTAAAATTCAAAGTAGCCTTATGAAACAGGGTTCATTATTCCTATTTTATAAATGAAGAAGCTAAAACTTTTTGGCTAAGTGATATGCTCAAATCCATTGCTATGAACTGAATGTTTCCACCCCAAATTCAAATGTTGGAATCCTAATGCCAGATATTATGGGACTTTGGGAGGTGATCATGTCATGAGGATGGAGTGCTCATGGATGAGATTAATGCTTTTATAAAAGAGACCTCAGAGAGATCCTTCAACCCTCCCAACATGTGAAGACACAATGAGGTGTCAGCGATGAACCCGGGAAAGTCTTCACCAGAAGGCTATCAAGCTAATGCCTTCACATTAGATTTTCCAGCCTCCAGAACTGTGAAAAATACTTCTGTTATAGCCATCCAATCTATGATATTTATAACAAGATATTTTGTTATAACAGCTCAAGTTGACTGAAACAGCCACACATCTAACAAACGGAAGAGCAAGAACTGAAATCCATTGTAACTTGAGGTCAATACCTGTTAACCCTAGTCAATTGTGCTATTTCATCTTTTCTTTTCATCTTATCATCCCATAGTCCCTCACTCAGCTTTTTAACCTTCTGCAATTCTTTTCATAGATCCCATGCTTTTCCTGAACCTTTCTGAACTGAACTTTTCTAAAACTTCATTCCCATTGTAGATCATTACCAAGTTATCTACTCTTCTCTGAGAAAGAACAGTGAAGGAAGAATGCATAGTCATCTCTTGGCCTCAGGTCACTGCTCCCTGGTTAATTCTTTCTCAAATCTGTAGCTCAACTCACTCAGTTCCCAGAAACCTTTGGTCATTAAGTCTCCTCAATTACTGATAGGTCTTCTTGGCATTTTCTTCTGTTTTGGCTGCTTTGTCTCTGACTTGCTAAAAGAACTCCAGCATGCATAGTTATGATGCTCCCTATCCCTATGTCTACAGGGCTTTTACTTGTGGGGACATTTCCGGGGTAAAGTATATCCCAGTGCCAAACCCTTTACTT